ATTCATTTTCTGGAAGGTAGATGGAAAACACCAACCTCCTTTCTTTTCACTTCAGAGGTGCCTCATGCTGCTTTTCCTCTTATGCTGATCAGCTCCAGAAATAACCCTGCAGAGCCATTGCTTGGCTTTGATTCCAGAAATCCCTCTTCCTTCTCCACCCTGTCCCTTCTGGTTTCTCTACCTTCTTCTCTCCACAGACATCTGTACTAAACCAGTCTGTTTCCTTTCCTTATCTGCTGTTATTCTGATTACATAAACATCATCTTGCACTCCTTTTTTCCTTCTCCACTTTGAGATTACTTCCCCCCATCGTGTCATGAGCCAAGTGATAATTTCCTTCAGCAGCTTGCTTTCTTCTCCACAGTTATTGGAATTAAAGGCTCCCCTGTTGCATATTTTAGCCTGCCAGTTAAGAGTGCTTAACACTTTTCTTTACTCATTGTTATTTAACCAAAAGTGTTAGTGAGTGATGGGAAGAAAATTGAAGGTATTTTAAATGTATTTTATAGGCTTGACTGCTTTCCAAGACCTGCAGTTTAAAACGAGAAGCCAGTCAGAGAAGAAAAAACTAAGTTCATAAAATTCTTAAAAATCAAGATATAACAGTTTTTAGAAGTTTAGTTTTGTTTGTAGTGAAGATCTTTCAAAGGATGACTATGAAAAGCCTAAGGTTCATGTAAGCCCAAGGCATCAGGCAGAAAATACAAACAGAAGTTTCACTTTGCCAAGTAGAAAGCTGGAAGCACTGTATATATTAATGTTGAAGAGTTCAGTGTTTACGAGAGAAAATTGAGTCATTATTGCTGATGCGTGAATGTTGCTGACATAATTTCCATCAGCAACAGCTCATGAAACCCAGTAACACAGGAATACTGTTACCTTTCCTTTATCAAAAGATACTGGAATACAAGGAATTATTGGGTCACACAGTTCATAGACAGACATGGACAAGCAAAAAGCTAAAGAGAAAATCTGTGGACACTTATATGAACCAAAATATTCCCATTTTCAATCCACTGTATGAATGAATATAACTTAAATTTTGCTCATTGTAATGTATACATTATATTATATTTGCCTAATGTTTAGGCTTTCTGGTGTGTTAAAAATCTCTGAATAAATTGTGGCTTATATGTGGCAGAGTATATACATTCAGGAAAACAACAGTCACTAATGAGATGACATACTAGCTGATTATTTTGTGTGTGTGAATTTGATAAAATAGCATGAACTACACAAATTATGAGATGCAATGTCCTACAATATTGCTATTTCACAGCACTTGAATATTTCATGTTCCACTGTGTATCTGAAAGAATCTCTGCCTTCCATAATGGCAGGGAGATGCCCAGGTCAGATGCTTAGCTCGACAAAACCTAAGGATTTTTCTTGAAGCCTTCTGCCAGTCATGGTGCAATTAATCTATTTAACACAGATTAATCAGAAATCAATTATTTATATATTATTGCCTGTCTTGATGAAACCAAGTCACCTCCATTGCTTAACAGAATCTCCTCCTCAAATTAAAATAAATGTTCAGCAGGTCAAATAAATAACCAACTACCAAGCCAAATCTTTGATTAAATTTGCTTATTTAGCACCGGTAAGTTATCAGTTAGAAGTTTGAAGTGGGGTCTCTTCTATTTCAAGTGGTCTATTTCAATGAGATAATTTCAAAACCAGCTGGTACCGCATAGGCACAGCTGATACAACTTGTCTGCAAACATACATAGGTCAAGCACAGGGCTCTGACTCCTAAGTGAGGTCTGCTTGGCTCATTCAGGTTGTGTGCAGCTCAGTGATTTTAGGCAGCTTCTGAGGCTTACAGGGACTCTGTGGGCAGCTTGACCATCTGTGCAGGGTGTGCTGTGTGTGTCAGGCAGAACGCTCACCCTTCCAAACGCAGGGTTTTGTTTGGTTGCCCAGTGAATGAAACTCATGGTGCTGAGTCATGTGGCAGGAGAATGGAGGCAGTGAAAGTGTGACAGCCCTCATCGGGACGGCCGCCAGGGAGGGATGAGGAGTGCTCGCAGCAGTCCTCCTCTAAGCACCGGGCAGGGAGCGGGGCTGTAAACTCCCTCCCTGCTCCCCAGCCCTGAAGTTTGAGCCCATCTGTCTGCAACTGCTCAGGGAGTGACCAGAGGTGATTGGTACTTGTGGTGCTGTAGCCATGAGGGGAGGGGACCTTTAGGAAAATCTCATTCATTAACTGTGAAATTGGACAAATCTGTAAATGTTAGATCTAGCCAATACAGCTTTATATAAACTAGACACTAGCAATCTAGCTATGTACTTAAATAATAAAAAAGGGAGATATTGTGCCCTTAATTATTCAAGTTAATCCTTCAAGGAGATTAATAGGATGCTGGAGGGCATAGGTCATTCACATTATAAGAAATGAAAAGCAGATTTGATTTAAGTTTCCTGGTGCAGCCATGTTAACAATATAGCACTCTACTTGTTTACATTGGACAAGTTAGGAAAAAAATAAAATAAAAGCTCATTTTGACAGAAGGGTTGTATGTTTTCTGGAAATGGGGAGCACAGAGAAAAATACTACAGAGAACCAGGACCTATGTCTTTTTCCTGCTTTACATCTGAATGGACACAAATCAGGCAATTTGCATGAAACATGGTAAGCTAAATGTCACTTGCTAGATCAGTTTCAGAAGAGCCTAGAATTGGAGTAAAATATCCAAGATAGAAAATATGTGGGTAATACTGTAGGATTGAAATAACCATAACTTAGAATAGAATAATTTTACCATAGCACAGAAACTTTTTAATACCAATGTGGATTAAAAAAATTCTTTGTCATTAAGGTCTGAAATCTGTGGATACCAACCCGTTTATATACATGACATTAAGATCAGGACAACTTCTGCCAGACTTTTTGATCTGTTAACTCCTTTTTCAGTATGGAAGAGAGAGGGTTGGATGAAGTCAAGGTGAAGCAAATGTCTAATAGCCACACAACAGCCAGAAAAGAAATGGCCCTGGAAACGTCTAGAGTATGATTCTGAGTCTGAGCATCCTGCAGCTGCTACTCCCTGCTCAGTTTTCAGCACAGCTCACATGGCAAACTGGAGACAATGACTTAGCAGGATTTTACAGGCATGGGCAATATGATGTGGATGAGCTTTGCTGGACAGCAAAAGATGCTGTGTGAAATAAATGCTATGCCCAGGTACAAATTTGGCTTGCTTATTACATTAACCTTGTAACTGTGCCAGATGAAAAAGCATTGGATACTTTTGGATAAGATTTGGATTTGTAAATCTGGTGCACATAAATTGTCAGAACCTAATGACGCTGCAGGATTCCACTCGCTGTGGGTGAGCTGCAGGTATTTTTAAAGAGCTCAGTACAATACCCACAGATGCATGACACAGTCACAAGTGTTCAGTCCCCTCTAGATGGAAATGCCCTGAATTATGAAACTCCCATCACTTTCATTTTGAGGCTGTTTGGTATGAAGGCCAACACAATTCCCCTGTAGGAGCTTTTTTCTTTATCTGCTTTCTTGCCAATCCCATAAAATACCATGGCAAAAGGAGAAACAAGGCATCTGGCCTATGGCATCAAATACAGAATAATGAGCTGAGAAGCCCAGGGAAATCTAATCTTTGTTCTGTCCATACTGGATTCCCTCAATGATTTCGTACTGAACTATCTGTGTCTCCATTTTTCTGCCTTTTGGATAAATATTATCTCAGTTTACCTCAGTAATATGGTATGTAGCTTGAGTTCCCCCTATTTTCAAATGCTGTTGGGGATTTGAATGCTGGTGCTGTGTAATTGAGAAGAAAGGAGATTGTAATTTTGTATAGCAACTTCCAGGTGGGCCATTTTCTAGAAACAATCTAAATTCTGAGTAAGTAAAGAAAAATAGAAAAGTAAGAGAAAATAACTATGAGAAACATGCAGAACAACAATAACACAGTGTATTTCTGCTGAGAAATAGACTTTTGAAAGATTCAGGGCTATGGCTAGTGGCCCCATCCAGCTGGGAGACCTCACATGCACATCTTTGACAGAGGCTGGGGCCTGGGCATGATCAACCTTCACTATCAGAAGCAAAACAACCAGAACTGCAAGGTTTTTAGCATATCATTAAAAATTCAAACCCGGGCCTATTCTGATGGAAAATCTTCCTTAGGAATGTGAATTGTTTTGGGCAAAATAATCAGGCTTCTTTCCTGGCAGGGATACTATTTGCATCAAAAATTAGTGTCATCCACCCACTCAGTTTCCAGCTCAAAGCCAGGCATTTCATTAGTGAAGTGAGAACAGAGATGCCTGGCTGGAGCAGCTTCGGCAAACAAACCTGCCAGTACCCCAGGAAGGTGGGAGAACTGTGTGCTCCCGCGGGCACGAGGGTCGTGAGGCCCACACAGGGCCAGAAGAGGAATGAGGACATCTCATTCCTGCCTGGGAAAGGGAAATATGTGCAAGAGCAAACGACCCAGCCCAGCCAGCGGGATGAGCCCCTCTTTCCCGGGAGGGAGGCCTTGGAAGCTGCGTGCAGAGCTCTCGTGCGTTGCGTGTGCGAGAGCCGCGCGTGTTGATAGCGTGAGCGGAGAGGTGCGTGGGGACGAGCTGTGCGTGTGCAGCCCTGCGTGCGGGCGGTCAGCGCCACGCGTGTGCCCGTGCGAGCCAGGGGAAAAGGCACGGGTGGCCAGGCACCTCGAAGGCGCCCACAGCTGCCGGCGCACGGTGCGCGGGCAGGGCGAGCGAGCTGAGCCTTCGTGGGCGAGCAGGCGTGAGGAGAGCCGTGTGTGCGCGGGGGCAGGCAGCGAGCGGGTGTGCGCATGAGGAACAGGTGTGCGCGGAGAGACGGCGCGTCAGGGGCGGGGGTAGGGGTGTGCGTGTGAAGGGGGAAGGGGGTACGGGTAGAGGAGGCGGTGTCTGTGTCTGTGCCCGCACGCCGCCGTGTGCCCGCACGCCGCCGTCTCCCCGCGCTGGCGGCTGCCCGGGGCGGGGCCGTGACGCACTGCGGCTGCCGCGGGCGGGGAGCCGGGCCCGGCGGGGCGGGGGGCCGGTGACCGGGGCCGTGGCTCGGCCCGCCGGTGCCTGACTGACAGCGCTCCCTGCCCAGGCGCTGGAAGGGCCGGGCCGGAGTGGGGCGGGCGGGAGGAGGAGGAGCAGCAGCGAGAACCGCCCTGCACTGCCGCGGCTCCTACCTATTCATTCAGTCACCTAAAATGGCTGGAGAGAGGAGCTGGCGGAGCAGGAGGAGGAGGTGAGGGGGAGCCGCAGCAGTGCCCCCACCTCCTCCGCGGCCCGGCGGAGCTCCCGGCGAGGCTGCGGCCGCCCCTCGCCCGCGGCACCATGTCGGCCGGCCCGGACGAGAGCTCGGTGCGGGTCGCGGTCAGGTAAGCGGCGGCTGCTGCGGCCGGTGCGAGCGGCGGGGCCGCGGCGTGTTGCCGGCGCCCACCCGGCCGGGACGGCAGCCAGGCGCATCTTCCCTGCAGAGACGGGGTCGCCGCCCCATGGCCCCTGCGGAGCCTCTTTTTCCTCGCAGCAGTAGGAAATAGGCAAAGGAGAGGAGAACCACCCCCTCTCCCCCCCCCCCACTGTTCTGAGGTCTTACTCAGTCATTTCTCTCTAATTTTGAGCAGTGACCCTAAAAATACTCAAACTAATTATAGCCTGGTGCTGCTAGTGCTTACTCATGGAAGCAGGGCAGCCCCTGGACTGTGGCGATGCCGTTTGCATCGCGGAGCTTTAGGAGAGTGGATCCCGGCACGCTGATATTTTTAGAAGGATAAAGGCTTTTATCCCGCGGAGGCTGTGTCTAACCTCGCATACCAGAGGGATGGGCTCCCATAAGGCTGCTCACAGTACATAGGAATTAGGTGTATGTAGAAGTCATGATGGGAGGGGCGCTTAAATAATTTTATAACATCAGTTAATTCAAATTGCTCTTTAATCAGAGATAAAAATCTGCTATTCATCAGTGAGCTCTTGGCTCTTCTCGGTTTTCTATGTGAAAATACTGTTTTATGGTTTGAAGAGCTTCCCATTTAGCCCGTGGATGCTTCAGTCTTCAAGATGTCTTTACATGATTGAAGCATGAGGAGAAATACATGTATGTGTGTATATATCTATGTCTGGTTATGTATAGGTACGTCAATATTTGGAGTCTAATTGTGATCCTGCCTGTTGATTTATTGCTTTACTTTAAGAAGTTTCTTTATGCTGGCACACTTGGAGTATTACAGCACAAGAAATCAGACCTTATGGGAAGATGGGTTTGTCTCAGTGGGTCCTTGGACAATCTTGCATTAGAGAATTCAAGGGTTGTACAGGAAAACAAAGAGGGTGATTTCTTAGGTTTGTTTTGTTTTCTCTGAAGGATGCAGAAATAAGCGATGTTACTTCGTGCTATTGTTGATACATGGTGTAGGAGGGGTGCAATAACATTTTCAGTAAACAGATAAGCACCACCTCTGCCTGATAATGTGGTGTGTGTGCTGCAGTTGTTCATTAAAGTCTGATTGCAGCAGCATTTTTTGTTGGGAGGGATGCTTTTGTGAGTGCTATCTGTTGAAGCATTTTTCACATAATGTTTAGGGAGGTACTATTCTAAAGCATAATAAGGCTGTGTTTTTAAAAAGGAAAATATGAGATAGCTGTGATCCTAAAAACTGGGTGTGTTACAGGTTTACAGACTGCTCTCATTGAAGAGAATATTAAATATGTTCTGAGCCAAAAGAAATAGTGATGTAGCAGTCCATTTACAAATGCAGAGGTTTGTTGCAACTTGGAATTAATGAAAAAACCTACTGGTGGAGATGCATTTATAATTGTAGGTGTGTGGTAAATAGATTAGGAATAATATATGGTAAAGAATTTATAGAAGTAAATTCAAGTCACCCAGCTGTAGTTTTTGACAACAAAACCCTAATGTTATAAGGTATGTTTCTGAATTATAATTGTCTAACTAACATTTTGTGCCTGAATGCAGTTCACTAATAATGAAGGATTACATTTTTCTTCCTGTCTGCTTTCTTCCTTTTAGCAAATTAACTATTCATGTACAAGATTTCCCCCTTTCTGTTTAGCATTCACGAACAAAAGCACGTACAATAATTGTTTTTGCACCAGTAGCTCTTTGTAGATGGTTTTCTTTTATTTCTGATTGTGTACTTTGTGCAGTCCTATAATTCAACTGATTTTGCATCTCAGTGTATACTGGTGCCATGCTGTACTGTGCATTATGAGTATTATGTTCTGTTTCCTTGTTGGTTTTGCTCTTCAACTATTTTTGTCAACTTGAGCATAATTCAGTGATGATCTCCACAGTTGTGATGAATTGGTTGTTGTGTTTTATATGTATGTCTCTGAACAAGGCTCTCTCTACAGCTGGGCCAGCTTTTAGTTTGCAGTCCCCGTGGTTGCAAGATATACTGCAAAAGCGTGAATTTGCTTAGACTTTAAATATAGGTTACAGAATAGACATCACTGAAATTGTTTAGCAAATTATTTTTCCAGAACCTGTTTGTCTTACCTAATTGTATCCAACAGGAATGAAAAATACTTCATTCTTTCCAATTAGCACCAGCTTTAAGCTATCATCTCATATGCTAATTGCTCCCCATTTTCTTCAGTGTAATCATGGGTTTGTGAGTGATGGGCTCCGGTTTAGTGAAGCATGAAAGCTGAAAATAGTTTGGCAGATAACCCAGTAACTAATGTTAAATTCCCCAATTAAGAAAATATTTTTCCCTAGTTACCCATCACTGAAAGAATTGTGGACTTTGTGGATGATGGTGTGCAACTTCGGCAAAGAGCTTTGCTCTCTGTGTGACTGCGGGTAGTTTCTGTTTTCAGATAAAGTCAGAGAGCCCCCAAAATAGAAAACAGTCATCTGATTAGAGAACTTTCATTTAAATGTGGAAAACTATAATTTTTGTAATTCTAAATTTTTTCTTGCTTTTTGAAGTGTTTTTTCAGCATATGAAGGCGAACTTTTGACCAGAAGGCTATGAAATGTTAATATCATAGGCAACTGTTTCAAGTTCACAAAAGGATGTAGATTATAGTTTCTAACTCATGTCTCTTGCCACTTTAGTGGTGTCCACCAGTAAAATACAGTGTGTAGGCTTCTGGCATGTTGGGTAGATGAAGTTCTCACCTAAGATTTAGACCATCAACAGCCAGTGGTCTATGTCTGTTACTGCACTTCAGAGCTGTTGTATGATCCATGGAAGGGGCTGGATGGTGTCACTCAAGAAGTGTGCTGTTACTTTTACCCTTTTACCAACCAGACTTGAGCTGGGTTGCAGGAATTGAAATGGCTCCAACAATTAGTGCCTGTTGTTGCTCCATGTGGCTTGGGGCCCTGTTCTAGCAGTGATGATCTAAGAAATCAAAGTTGAATTTGAGTCCTTTGCATTTTTGGATACATGTTAAACAAAAGAACTTCTGGAGAACAATAACATTTGCATAGGTCTAACCTGAGGTCTTGTATAGAGGACTGTACCTGATAAAGCATGAAAGGGTATCTGTTGTATCTTCTCCCTAACAGAATCCAAATAACAATGCAGAGCATTGAAGGAAATGTCTGTCTTCTAGTCCTTCAAAGGTGAAAGACAGCCTTGATCCACTGGGATCAGAGGAGGCTCTGGATGTATAGATGATAAGCTTCAGTGTCGATTTGTTAGAGATGCTGTGTTAAAACAGAAGAAGGAATAAGTGCAGCATGAAAAAATGAACTGCTGTACAAGCTGACCAATAGTCAAGAGAAGATGGTCACTGCAACATGCTTGGGTGACACCTCAGGTGGAGTGGACAATAAAAGAATATGCACTACCAGTTGGTGAAGCTGAAGAACTTTGGCATTGGGCATATTCTCATGAAAGATGGAGCCCAGTTGAAACTGTATTAATAGGCTGAACACAAAGAAGCTTCAGGGGATGGTGTTTTATAATCAGGCATATTTAATATGTATAAAGAACAGAGTAGTTAAAGTTTTCACTTCTCATCATCCTAGGTATGCCTTTGTGTATCTGCCTTCTTCCCTGCTTTGGTAAAAGTGCCTCACTGCTGCTGCTTCATCTGCTGTGATTGACATCTGTTTTGCTTCATCCCTCAAGTGAAGAACAGGAGTGTTGCTACATTCCTCCTCATGTGTGTAGAGAGGCTCTGGGATCTGGTCACCCAGTTGTGCCTTGAGATGTCTAAAAGATTTCCTTTTTGTACCCACCCTGGGTGTCTGCAATATGTTGCGACACTGCTTCAGAAAAGTGAAATGTTGATGTTTGCCAAGTACGGAAGCTGTGTGCAAAATGCAATGGATCTACAGGTAAAGGTTTTTAGTAACAGTCAAAGTAATAAGTGCAGCTGATGAATTAAAACCACACAGCTTCTGTTCCTGGTTTTCCAAAAGGGAGATGAAGTATGCTGGAAAAACACATTAGCTACTAATTCAGTTTAGTGGAGATTAGAGATTTTTGCAACTAAAGCTTAGTGTGGCATGGTGTTAGGATACGGTGTTGACTTCACAGGGGTTTTTTTCCTACTTCACAAGTTTCTGTGTGGGTTTATTTTTCTCCCCATATGGAATCTGCTCTTTGTTGTCATGCCTCTCTCTACCTTTTCAAATTTTCTTTTCACATTTTTGTATTCTTCTCTTTAAGCATTTTCTTTTTAAACTTTTATAGTAAGGCTGTTTTCCTTTGTGCTAGATCAAGCTACTGTTAGATACACTAGGAAAGAAGGAACTGAGTGAAAGGAACCTGTCCTTTTTAGACAAGTGTGTTTTGAAGTACTTTGATGGCAGCTGAGATTGATTTTCTTTCTTGGGCTGCTATTGTGCAAACAGTTACAGATGTGCTTAAGCTTCCCACCATGAAGGGATCCTCAGATGCTAGATGAATGGACATGTATGCTGTGGTATATATTATATGCTCTGGAGATACTAATTTCATACTTCCTGTACAGTGCTAAGCATTCTCATAAATCATTCTGTAACTAGATAAGCAACAGCAATAGACTACAGTACTATCCATTGGTTCCTTAGAATGGACCAAACTTTTTATTTTAATAGACAATAGTTATTTCCCATCTGTAATCAGCTGTAAAATTTTCTTTGGGGAAATATGTGACTATGTTAATGAAGTTCAGCAGTCTGTAAGTACACAATAATGCCCCACGTAATAAAAGAGAAATTATCAGCAGCATTAAATAGCAAGGTGTTGGGAAATATTGCTTCTTCATGGAGTCTGTTAATGGAAAGCTACAAAAGATATCTTGTTTTGGAAAGTTCCTGTTGCATATCTCTTTGTTAGTTTTGATGTTTTTCTTTGCTCTCTGACTTACACAAACATCCCCTTGTCCTCCTCTGAAACTTTACCCCATTGGTATGTTT